TTTCCAGGTGTGTGCTTCCCATTTAAAGATTCTTTTAAAGTGGTTGTACTTGGTAATCTTGATTTAATCCCATTTTTTTCTGCCTTTATTGGATCAGTGATGTCTGGAACTACCATTGCAGGACTGTCTGACATGGTGGGAATCTCAGTGATCCTCGAAATATCAGCTAAATGGTTATCTGAATGCACAATAAAAAGTTCAGGGATTCCATTCATGACTTCATTTCTTTTTTCTTCTACTTCACCATTTTTACAACAGCCAGGAACAAGTGATTCCCCTACTGGATCCCTAGCTATCTTGTCAGACTGTACTTTTGAACTTCCCTTAGAAGAGTTGGTCATAATATCTGGCAAAGATTTTGCATCTCCTACATTGAGGTTATTCAGTACTCTTCTTGGAGAAAGCTTCTGAAAGGATTCAGTCTTTACACTGCCATGTCCTTTAGATAATCTTAAAAGAAAGAAAGAAATGATTAATTCAAAAATTAAAAGAATTTCAATAAAATTGTTCTGGTAAAAACTAAAATAATTCTCTATATTTCCTACATCACATATTTACTAGATTGACTAGGCATCTAATAAAATATAGAACAATTTTTCTCAACCTTGGCAACTTGGCAAGATATGTGGACTTCAACTCTCAGAATCCCCCAACCACATATCTTAAGTCCACAAATCTTAAAATTGGTATAGAAAAACTAGGTGGTGTGGTTACACAAATGCATGAGCACATAAGTGTGTCTTAAAAATACAAAATAGATAGGATTAACTACTGGCATTTGGGAGGAAATTTCCTTGAAAAGAAGTGAACGTAAAGAACTTTTACGCGTCACGTTTTTGCCCTCCCCAGCCCCCAGGAGCACTCTGTAGGCATCCCAAACCCTTTGCACATCCCATTTTTGCTAAAACTGTTTTTTTGTGAAAACGGGACGCGCGGGACGGGGTTTGGGGAGGCCAAAAATGGCTATATTCGGTGTATAATATGCACCAACATTTCCACCCTCTTTGGGGGGGGGGGGGGAGTGTGTCTTATACTCCGAAAAGTATGGTGTTTTTACATGGACAGATACACAGAGGGACTGGAGAATATATGCAATTTATAGCACAAGAAAAATCCATACAGCCTGAGACCTTTGGGTACAATTCGAAAATATAAAGCTTAAATATTGTTAGCTATTTTTCTACCTTTTTCTAATTAGTTCTTTATTTTCATCTTTAAACAATGAAGATCGCTTCTTTTTCCGATACTTCTTCTGAGATGGGGTTTTGGGCATCAGTTCAGGTTCGGCACTAAAGTTGTTACTGGTCCAAAATAATAATAATATAATAATAATAATAATAATAATAATAATAATAATAATAATAATAATAATAATAAAAAATTAATAATTATTAATAAATTAATAATTATTAATAAATATATTATATTAATTATTTTTTTATAATTATATAATTATTATATAATAATAATAATAAATTAATAATTATTAATAATAATAAACCACCTTACTCGGAACAGCTTACATCCTCCGACGATACCTTAACAGTTCCTAGGTCCTTGGTTAGGACTCGAGCTGCTGAGCTATTAACCAGCCTCAAAGGCTGTGAATCTCACTAAAGATTAACAATAATAAATAATAATAATAATAATAATAATAACAACAACAACAACAACTATTGATCTCAAGAACTGCAATTAACATCAATACAGGGAAGTCTGTACCTTGCTTAGATGACCCATGCTGAAATGTAACTCGATGTTATTATCTGACCAACTTGTATTCTTTACATTGATAACAAAGGAATCATAAACTCAGGATAATTAATAAACTCCTAATTAATAAGACTTTTTTGGAAGAGAATGGACAAAGGAAGTCCAGTATTATTATTAAATTTATGTCACCTGACTCCCAGTGACTGGTATAAGAAAGACCTGCTTTCCTTCCCAAGAATGGGAAGCTATGTATTTTGCCTTTCTTCCAGAATAAGGTAGGTTTCAATTTACAGCAGTTTGTTTAGTAACCATTCGAAGTTACAACGGTATTGAAAAGTGACATAACCATTTTTCACACTTAAAACTATTGCTGCATCCCCATGGTCATGTATCAAAAATTCAGACACTTGGTAACTGACTCATATATGTGACAATTGCAGTGTCCCTGGCTCATGTGATCACTTTTTGCGACCTTCTGAAAATAAAGTCAATGGGTACGCCAAATTCAAGAAATAACCGTGCTATTAACTTAACAAGTGCAGTGATTCACTTAACAACTGTGGCAAGAAAGGTCGTAAAATGAGGCAAAACTCCTTAACAACTATGTTACGTAGCAACAGAAATTTTGGGCACAACTGTAATCATAAGTCAAGGACTACCTGTAGTAGAAACACTGCTCTATGCTACAGGTTTTTAAATGTTTTCAGTTGCAGGACTTACTGGTTAGAAATAAATACCCAAATCACTGACCAGGAGACAAAGCTCTAATGTAGGGGTGTCAAACTCAAGGCCCGCAGGCTGCATCCAGCCCAAGGTGTACTTAGATCTTGCCCATGGGGCTGCCCTGGAAAAAGCGAAGGACCAGTCAGTGGTGCCTCTGCCAGCGAAAATAGAGGCGAGGCCCTCCCGAGTTCTGTTTTTGGCTGCGACGGCCTCCTGCAGTCCTCTGCCAGCGAAAATGGAGCTCAAAATGACTGTGTGCGGCCCTCTCAAGCTCCATTTTTACTGGCAGAGTGATCAGTCCAGTGCAGGCACCCCTAACACAAGTGATATCAAGATAGCCATACTTACCCCGGCCATACCCCACCCCTCACAGGTCAAACACAACCCTGATGCGGCCCTCAATGAAATCGAGTTTGACATCCATGCTCTAATGATAGCTGGGTTTAAGTAATTTATTATTGTTTTGCCTTTATTCACTCTCAGAACTCCCAACTGTTTTTCTGGAACTCTAGGATTCCATAAATCATTTTAAAAAATCCCACCCTAGGCAATAAACTTTGCTGTGTAAATATGACCCCCAAATCAATTTACAGCCCTTCGGTGTAAAAACTTAACACTCTTTCCATTTTGCAAGATTCAAGATTCTATACCTATCAAATATCTTCATGGCTTCTTCCTCAATTTCTCTCAACCACACCAAGCACTTATGTTCAGCATTGAACAGGAATTCTGAGAATTTTTGATTGCAAACATCTAGAAGGTGAATGGGTTGTCTTGCTTCAGCCATGATGCTGCATAAAACAAAGGAAAAGGAGAACCGAAGGCAACAGAATGTTAAAGAAATATTTTGTTTTCAGATGTGAAAGTCAGTTGTGCACAGCCACACTCTCAATTTTTTAGTGAAGAAATCAAACATGATATTTTTTGCTTTCTCATTTTTGGGGTTTCTTATCTTGATTTGATTTCTACAGTTAGTAAGTAACAAAGTAAGTAATAATACTACAATTTTTCTATAAGAGAGTGCAATGACACCGTTTTTAAGAAGCCCACAGATAACCATCCCCTGAAGACTTAGCTAAATTCTAGCTAGTTGTTTGGGGGGCACATTCATTTTCTTGACAATTTCTATCTGAAAAACTTAACAGAAAGAACCACAGAGGAACCAGATGCAGACCCGAGGGAAAAATAACTAATGTGTCCTACAAACTTAAAAAAAAACGTTTTCCTCCTTCCACCTATAAATAAATATTTCCCCCTTTCCATTAATAACAATAAAGGCAGGTTTCAAATAACAACAAAAAAAAAACCCGAGTCAATTCTTCCGCAAGAGACAGCACACATTTGCAACAACATACCCCACTTGAACAACAGACAACACCTGAGCCAAACACACAAAGCGCCTCCCGCGTAATGTGGGCGTGCGCTCGCTGAGCCGCTGGAAACCATCTCAGGCAGCGTCTCATCTCCGATAGTTTGAATTTTTTTTTTTCACTCTAAATTAAAGCGCCCCGACTAACTCCGCTCCCTTGCACGTTTAAACCCAAGGACGGAAAGGAAAGGGAGAAGAGTCATTGAATTAGTCCGATCAGGCTGCAATTGCAAAAGAGCGGGGAGGGGATGGCGGCTTCGTTTCAGGTGCCTTAGGAACAAGGGGAGGTGGGTGGGTTTCCAACCTTGGCAACTTTTAAGACTAGTGGACTTCAACTCCCAGAATTCCTCAGCTAGTATGACTGGCTGAGGAATTCTAGGACTTGAAGTCCACAAGTCTTAAAAGTTGCCAAGGTTGGGGACCACCTGCCTTAGAGGGGCTTTGAAGTCAGATTAAAGCAACGGCCTCGGGGGAGGAAGGAAAAACCAACAGATGTTATAAGACCTACTCAGGAAGGAGTTGCAACTGGAGACCACCCTCTCTACAGTCTACAACGTCTTTAGGAAGCTGCTCGCAGGTAACCTTTCGAGGCGTTGCGCTCCCTCGTCACATAACAAAAGAGGGTGCACTTCGCTTCCCTTCGCTGGATTCGTTTTCGTTCGCACTTCTGGGAAAGGGGGCTTTTGTCGCCTTTTTTCTCTGCGCACTTTCTCAACTAGGTGGGGAAACTGCAGAGTTATTTTGAGAAGGGAGCTGCCGTTTTTAAATCGAGTCTATTAAAAGATTTCTTCACTTTTTGATTTCTGCATTATCAGCTACAACCATGTCGAGAAAACTGTAGGAAGTAGGTAGTCCAGGCAATCGCCAGGAGTCAACGCTGACTCGAAGGCACCGCAGGGCTTTCCTGCCACGATTTTGTATTGTACTTAATGAGTTTGCATTGGCTGTGCATTACGCGCTTTTTTTCCCTCTGCGTCCAGCAGGCGCCCTCGCAGCTCCTTTTCCTCCAGATGACACGGAAAAGCCTCCCCCTCCCCCCCCGGAATCGAGCGGATCTGCCGCTGGGGCGTTCTTCTTTCGCTTACTCGGCCAATAGTAATCCCCGCCTTTAAAAACTCCGCTTCTGATTGGACCGCTGGCAGTGTGACGCTCTTTGAAATTTGTAGCGGGCGCCACAAGTGGCTGTTTCGCCGATGTTCCTGCCCGCGCCCGTTGCTGGAAGAAAGAAAGGCTGGCGGTTCGCTCGGATCTGTGCCGGGTCCGGAGGAAACAGGCTGCCCGTCCGCCGCGGGAGCGGTGAATGAGCGACCGAGCGAGGTTTCATGAAAGAAGGACGATCGGTGTCTGTCTGGCTCTTTGATCGTCAGACGGTGGGGACAGTGGTGGGTTTTACAGCCTTCAAAGGTTTCATTTTGCTCTCGGTGGATTCAGTGGCGAGTAACGGACAATGTGGAGTGCAGTTCCGGAACATCATGCCCTGCCAGCATGGTTTCGGTTAGGAATAAAAATTGTAGTCCAGTATCGCTAGGGGATTTGAAAAGAGGGTTTTGAAAGGAGGCCGGTATCTGAAGTCTGGATTTGCACAGCGCGCTTAACTTGGTTGACGAAATAAATCCGCTTTGCATTTGCGTGATGCGTTGAATCGTAAATTCGTAAAAGCCACGCAAACGGCTACTGGGACCCCCATCCTGAATTGTAGATATATACTGTATAACCGAAAGTTACACTGAACCAAGTTTGCACGTGCAAATATTGCATCTAGATCTAGCTTGGTTGGTTTTGTGCAAATACAGTCTCGGTGCTGTTATTCCACCCTATAAATGTCTTTCCTTCCAAATGGTCTGTAACCTGGAAAAGAATATGAGGAAGTACCTGCTTCTGATAAGGGGATTAGCCCTGAAGGATGTTTTGATGGGTTCACTTTTAAGTTTTTGGTCAGGTTCTTTTGTCAAGATTGACATCTTGCAGAACACCACAGTATTATATTTAAAAATTTCAGCTCCTAGTAATTAGGGTTCTATACCAATAAGTTATCAGCTCAGCCAGTTATGTCGTATTTTGCTTCATTCGGACCACTTGTATGATCAACTAAGTAGTTGCTGAAATCTCAAATCTGTGTTTTAAATATTGTATTGCAAAAGTTGACTTGTACTGTTTTTGAAGGCTTTTGTTTGGCCAGGCTTTTTGCTGATAATCTGTTCTTGTGTGAGCTGTTTGTAGTAAATTGCATTATTTGCTCTGGGATTTGGTTTATAGATCAGGAAATCTACGTCACTTATAATATATAGCAAATAAATGCCACATTGTATAAGTAAATTGTTAATGTCTCTTAATTTTATTTTTAGTTATATTTGTGTCCTGTAAGCCAATTTTGGCAGCAAGATTAAACAATGAGTTACAGCAAAGATTTTCAAGCTCTGCAGGTTGAGTTGTAATTTTAGGGATTACAATCAACTTGTAAAGGTGATAGGGACACTTAGGGTGGAAAAAAGACCATCCATGTGCAGCAAGAGGGAGTGCTGTCAAAATGTATTCTGGAAAGCAGAATATTTGTTTTTTGACCACCCATAAAGTCAATGAAAATAATAATTTCATTTGTTGGGGAAGCAGTCAATTTATTTTAAAATTTTAAGAAGTTGCAATTCACAGCACTTGAAAACCCTAGTAAATTATACAGTATATATTTTATAGTAAATGTAAATATTAATATTATAAAATTACAGTGATACCTTGGTACCCCATTGCTGTAAAACTCATTGAATTTGGTACTCAACACATATTGACATGAAAATTTTGTCCTGATACTCATTGTTTGGTACTCAATGCACAAGCTAGAACTTTTGTTGTTGGCTGACTTGTGATTCACTACATTATTATTGCTTATGGGGGGGAAATTGTTTGGTAGTCATTGTTTTTGATGCTCATCACACTTCCCAGAAGGAATTAACAGTAAATACCAGGGTACCACTGTGCATTTAAAATTGATGAATGTATTTGTAGACAGATTTTGGTTTTAAGGTTACTGCAGCTTAGATGTTTCTGGGGGAAAATAATATCAAAGATGATTAAGTATTTTACAATTATTAGGGTTTGTTTATTTAAGCATTTAAATTGCCGCTTAAATAGTGAACATAAGGAAAAGAAAAAATATAACATAATTAATCAAAATAAAACAAGCCTTCAAAATTAATAAACAATAAAATTAAAAAATTGTATGGAATTTGAGAAAAGGTTACTTTTTGCAATTTTACATTGAAAAATGCAATTTACAGCATGTTATAATGGCGATCTTGCTTTTCTGTGACTTTATTCAGAAGTTGTTATTTGTGTTTTGCAGGCTAAAACATGTTGAATATGCTGAATCCTATGGCATTAGAAGAGGAGACAAATAAAAAGCTCACAGAATTTATCCAGAATGTTCATGATAGAGATTTTGTATGGATGGATGAGATTCTTGAAGAAGCTATCAAGATGTTTAAGAGGTAAGAACTAACAAATTGCTAGAAATGGTACTAAAAAGGTGGGTTCCACCTACCCATCCAAACAAACAATAGCTGCCAGAAACTCTTCAGTCTCAAATTCTTAATGTAAATCTTTATAAACAATAGGAGAAAATAATTGAATACAGGAAACAATTTTATCTATATTCAATTTAAATATATATAAAAGTAAGTAGTTTTGGTCCTGGCTCTTTGTCCTAACTTCTAGTTATTGTATTTGGTCCTTTGCTTCTAATTTTCAAAAAAGGTGCTAACATCAAACCACACCAACCAGCAGCCTTCAATGAAACAGATCTCCAAATGGCTCGATTGTTCTACCATTATAATATGATTTTTTTAAAAAGAAAATGATCAATCCTCTTTTACTGAACAAAACTGTGAATCTGAACAATTAAATTAGTGGTCAGCAAATATCCTAGGAAAAATTGACAGGATTTTTAATAAAGGCACCTATCAAATATGGTTAAATTGTTATTTCTTTTGTCAAAGTAGTAGCTTTAATGGAGAACCAGAGCTGATGCCAAAAACCCCATCTCAGAAAAATCGTAGTAGAAAAAAATGTCTCTCTTCTATGAAGAATGATCAACTTGCCACAAGAAGGTAGGATTTCTGTTTCATGTTTGAATTTATGCGAATATTTGGGTTACATGTACAATTCCAGTTGATATTTGGATCCAGTCTACTTGAAGAACTGTCTCACCCCGATGAGATTGGCCTGCCCCACCCGCGCCAGCAAAGAGGGCATCCTGCTGATCCCATCAGCTAAGAAATTTTGACTGGTGGGATCCAGGAGAAGAGCCTTCTGTGCTATGGCTCCTGCCCTCTGGAACATCTTACCCCCTGAGGTGAGATTGATTCCCACGCTCCTCCAAGACTTGGAGAATCAAGAAACCTTCGCACTGGAGGTAGTTGAGTAATTAAAGTCTATTCCCACCTCCTCCTCATCTGTCCCACTCCCTCTTGCCATCTTTTCTTAATGATTTTATCACCTGTGTTATTTATAATTGATGATTTTAATATTTTTTATGTTGTAAACCCCCTCCCCCCTGAGTCATTGGACATGAGGTGGAAGGCAGACAAATTGCATAATAAATAATTGTGGAAAATGTTAGGATTAGGAGTATCTAGAGTAAACTGAATAAATTTATCATTTGGGAATGGTTTACAAACTATAAACTAAAGTACAAAACCATTTTAAATGAGACAGTTTATGGCTTACAAGACATAGACACAGTACCTATCTTCATCTGTAAATAAGTACCGGTATATTATGATCTCATAATTAATAGACTCAGTCCTTATTCTCAAATCCCTCTCCTGTCAGATAGTAGGATGTGCTGTCCAGATGGATGGTGGGAACAGGAGCAGAATCTTGGTGTACCTGTAGAAATCCCCATAGATAGAAATGTATTGTTGATGGACAGTTCTGAATATTCAGCATAATGGTATTCTAGGTGAGGTCTTTGATCCACTGAGTTGAAGTCTCCCTGTTACTTGTGAGTTTTCAAGATTGAAATCTGCCTACGATAACCTTGGATTTACATAGTTTCCCCCCCCCCCCCATTGAATTCAATTGTAACCAATTTTAAAGACACTTGACTGATGTACTAAAAGATCTGTGGTGTTTTTTGGGTTGCATGAGCCAGAAGATCTTTGGAAGATTCAGCAATTTGTTTCTTTATCCCTGTCCTCTTTACAAATCGTGCAGAACAACCAGTCTGTAGAGATTCTCAGTCATCCAGGTCATGGTTGTCCCAAAGTTGCTCTTTCACTAGGCAACTGTGAAAAAGCACCTTTGGGACAACCATGACCTGGATGACTGAGAATCTCTATATAGATTTTTAGCTATACAATTTGGGATGAACACCTTTTGAATACACCCTTTGGAGTAGGAATGGATTTCCCGGGAGAAAAAATTGCAGACTATAAAACTATACACTACTCAGGTGTCCCTGAGGACACAGATAAACCCCCAAGTGCTTCAATGACCCTCTAAAAGGATGCAAATGACCAGCTGTCTGCAAGGAATATGAATCCTTCCATTCCCCACTATCCTGTTAGAGCTGAAGAAGCTTCTTGGATGAGGAGTGAAATGTCTTCAAAGAAAAAACAAAGTCCAGTTGCCTCCTGAAAAAGCACCTTTGGGAGAGCAACCAGTCCTTTGATCACTATTTTTTTTTAGGTGGATGATGAGAAAATCAAGATAATTAAAATTATATGGATTATAGATTCACAATGAAATGAGCACATCATAGGAACAGTAAGCCAAATAGATATAATGTTTGGGGCAGGGTGGATTTGATTTAAATCAACTTGATTTAAATCATAATTTTTAAAGAGCAACTGTCATCTCTGCTACTCCTTTGACCCACTGTTGACTCACCGATAGTCTCAGTGTTGCAGAATATACAGCCTCATGCTACATAACTAAGTTCCATTTCATGCTGAATAAACTAAATTATTTATGTATCTTAAATAGAAAACTGTCTTACGATAGATTTTTACCCCAAAAGTTTTTTATTAAAATAAATTCGATTTAAATCAAAAAAATCCGATTTAAATCAAAAAAAAAATCAATGATTTTTTTTAAAAAATCAATGATTTTTATCCACCCTGGTTTGGGGATAAGAAACAACTTGCCACAACCTCTGAAGACAGGCTTAGCAAACTTGTGCAGGCTAGTTTAGATCTTTGGAATTTTGAGCCTGCTTGAGTTGCATGGCCCAGGAATTCAGCTTGTGTTCTTGCATGTCTGTATTTTCTTTTGTTTGTAAGCAGCTTGAAACTCTGCACTCCTATATTGGCACAAAAATATATGCAGTCTCTGCAGTGTTGAAAAGGAAAAAAACCCCTGAGAAGATGGCATAGCTACTTAGGCAACATAAGTGGCATACAAGTCTAATAAATAAATAGCACAACTCATGTCTTTGCTGTTGTCCTGTTTCAATTGAATGGAACTGTTTCTTGAGTGTCAGTGGAGCTGGCCATACATTAAAACATGCAAAATAAGATGATAATTGAAGGCTGCATTCACCCCTTTGTAATAAAAGCATATGAAATACAATGACTCTAATGAGCAAGAATTGCTCTGTGTAGAATAATAGCTTATTATAGGTTATTTTTAGATGTAATTGTTTGGAGGAAATGTGAACTGATTGTAGGGAACTCAACAGTCACAGGGGCTTTTAAAATATTTCATTTCCTGCTGCACTTAAAAATCAAACTCAGACCCCCCAAATAAGTAGTTTTCATTACCATTCATTTCCATTACCAGTTTCCTTTAGGCAACAGATTTGAAAAGTAGTGTGCTTTGGACAAATAGGCATTTCAAAATGATGCTTGGAATTATGATTCAAAGTTGCGCAACTTTCATAGGGATATATTAAGAGTTCTTTCCCCCCCAGCACATCTCCAATTCTGATCCAGCCAATTTTTGAACTTGATTTCCCCACCCCCCACCCGGATTTCTCTCTCTGACAAATTTATCTAGTTATGTGCTGTTGGAGAGAGTTGGCCTGCTGACGGACAGAAAGATGGCCAGAGTCCCAAGATTCTACATAATTTTTTCAAACATACTATTTGGTTCATAAGTATAAAATGGATTTTTTGAGATACCAGTTATGGCCTGTAGAAATATGGATCATCACTTCGATGGAAACAAAAGAGATACAGAAAATGCTTAGCATGGTAGTCATCTGGGTGTCTGCAGTTCTGATTACTTGATTGTATGTGTTGGATTATTGTTAAGGACTTCAGAGCCTGTCTATGGAGATTCTCAGAAATCCATGTCACGATTGTCCCAAAGGTGTTTTTTCAAGAGGCAGCTGGACTTTCTGGTTTTTCTTTGAAGATGTTTCACTTTTCATCCAAGAAGCTTCTTCAGCTCTGAGTCTATGATAGTTTGACATTAGGTAACTTTAAGTAGGACTGGGTGAATCTTTGAAGGAGAGTTTAGCTTTGACAGATATTTGAATGAAGAACCTCTTTGAAAACTTCCTGAAAATATTGGGAATGCTTCTGAAGACAACTCAAAAACTGCAGCTGTTACACAGTGCTGGTGCCAGATTACTAATCAAGGACATTTCCTTACCTTGAGGTTATCACACTGATTACCAGGCCCCATTCAAAATATTGGTTGTCACTTAGAAAGCCCTATATGGCATGGTACTCAGATATATCAGGGAGTGCTTTATGAAGTATGAGTCTATCTGACAAGTCCGAACGTTGAGGAAGATGTTGTAGGGATTTTACCCTCCCTTGAAATCTGGAGTAGAAAATAGGTATTCTTGGTAGTAGTCTCTTTACATTATGGAAGACAACATGTTTGGCTCATGCTCTTTTGTTCAGAAAAATTCTTAAATCTTTTAGTGCCCAGATGATTTGCCATTACTTATTATTTATTATACAATATTATTGTGTTCTTTTTAATGTTTGGGATGAACTGTTTTTGGTTTGCTTCCTGTTCATTGCCTAAAGTTGCTCAGATTGGGACCGTCTATATATTCTGAAAGATAGCTAATATATTCACTCTGATCACAAAGCACACAACAGCTGATGGAATGCCTTCTGAGCCCAGCTGCTGGCCAAAAAGGGAGGAAAGTTAGAGATTTGCAAACACTACTCAGGGACCATCAAAAATTGCTTTGACTTCCATTAGACCTTCTAAAGCAGGGGTGTCAAACTCAAGGCCCGGGGGGTGGCTATGTCTGGCTCTCCCCAGCTTCATTTTATTTGGCAGAGGGTTGCAGGAGTCCGTGGCAGCCGAGAACAGAGCTCGGGAGCCCATTTTCTCTGGCAAGTGCTTGGGCCTCTACAGGCGCCCCCAATACGAGTGATGTTGAGCTGACCACACCCACCTCGGCCCCCCAAGATCAAACACAACCCTGATGCGGCCCTCAATGAAATTGAATTTGACACCCCTGTTCTAAAGGAAGGCAGCTCCTTAGAGCTCATTGATTAGGTAGAGTCTGCCTACTAGATTATGTAGTACTAAATGACTTCTATATGTATGATGTGATTAATTTCTTTAGAATTTTCTGCTCAGTAAAATAGTATTCACCGTAATTTTGAGGACATGTTTTAAAGATTGGCTTTCTTTTTATTTATTTGTTTGTTTGTTTGTATCCCGCCAAAGGTCACACTCTCAGATCAAAAGATCAGCAAAATGTTTTGCCTAGTTCATTTTAGCAAACTGCTTCCTCCCAATTGTTTTTACTGTGTGAAAAATTAAGTGGAGACTTGTTCTGCTTACTCATAGTAAGTGCTGGTTTTGGCATTGTGCACTTGACAGTATGTTTCTTTTACCAGATCATCTAAAAGAAACAGTGCCAGGATAAGAGCTTCAAAGAGGATTTCCCAAAATACTCAGCGCAAAAAAGAATTAGAAATTCAGAAAGCTGAACTAGAGAACATCTCTCCTTGTGTTCGTGTAACAAGATCACAGGCTGCCAGGTCTTTCAAGTCTCTCTCAGTTGCTGTTAAGAATCCAGTTATTGATTTAGCCAAAGGGAGGATACCACTAGTAGAAATTAGTGCCAATGAGAGACACAGTGCAGAAGGGCAGATAGAAAATACGCCACCTCAACTAGCAAAGGTTGCCTTAAGCCATACTTTGTCTTCATCACCTGCTAAGAGATCAAAACCCTTGTCTGAAAATTCTGTGATCATAATCCAAGACACTCCCGAGGAAAAATTAAAAAAAGAGGTGGGACGGACAGCATGTAAGTTGAAGATAGCAAATGTGTGTCTCTCCAAAACTATTGAAAATGAAGCGGCCAGCATTGAAAAATTATTTCCAGAGCAACAAGCAGATAAGCCGCTATCTGAACCCAAAGCCACTTTGAATTTAAATGAATCTCCACAAACACCTACTGTCTGTAAAGGAAGCCGTCGCTCAGTACGCCGAAGCCTGATGGGCAGAGCCTCCACAAGCTCTAGAGCCTCTCTGGCCAACAGATACTCACTAAGCACTAAAAGGGAACAAATTGTCTTGAGACGCAGTAGCAGGACTGTATCTAAACAATCTATCCAGCAGTCATCTGTGCATACGCATGCTAAGAGTAAGTTTTTTTCTTTTCAATTTTATAAGTCCATTCCAAGCGTGGTCCTTTCAGAGGATATAATACAAAATAAATTTCTCTATAAAACTATTAAAATACTGTACTTTTAAAGAAGTTCAATTTTTTTTTTAAAAAAATGCAGTTTCAAACTAGATATGAGCCAGTTTGGTGTAGTGGTTAAGGCATTAGGCTAGAAACTAGGAGACTGTGAGTTCTAGTTCCATCATATCTGGATAACTTGGGTCAGTCAAGCTCTCAGCTCTAGGAAGCAGGCAATGGCAAGTCACTTCTGAAATCTTGCCAAGGAAACTGCAGGGACTAGTCCAGGCAGTTGTCCAGAGTCAAGGCCAACTTGAAGGCACATCCCTCCCAAAGTTATAGTTATACTTTAAGAGTGAAAGTGTTTAACACAGCATGGTTTATTTAAAGTCTAGAGTATTTTCAGAACTCCCTTAAAGTGTCCCTAGATGGAACTGATTTAATCAGATTGGGGCTACTCCAAAGAAAAGTCCCTCATTCTAATATCTCTCTGCTGTACTGACCTTCAGGAGGGCCTAGTAAGTGAGCACTGAAAATTTGTTTTTAAATTTTAAAATGTTTTTAATGATGATAATTGTACTAAGTATTTATTGATTCTTTTATCGTTTTGTATGCCACCAGTCACATGTTTGTGAAATGGATAGCTACCGTGTTTTCCCGAAAATAAGATCCTATCTTATATTTTTTCTGAACCCTGAAATAAGCTTGGCTGTATTGCCATCCGCTCAAAAGCCCGATTGGGCTTATTATCAGGGGGTGTCTTATTTGGGGGGGAAACAGGGTATAGGTATTAGACAAATAAAGCACAGCTGAGTTAGTGTAATATAGCTGTAGCTGGTATTCTCAATGGAGAAGCCTTTTAACAGGAGAAAGTTCATTGTTATAAACCCCCTTTTTTTTAATATACAGATAATCCTCAATTTACGACTGCAACTGGGACTAGAATTTGTATCATAAATCATTGTGATCATAAATCAAGTCTGACCTGAATGTAGGACAATTTCTACAACAGTTGTAAAGTGAATTATAAGGTTGTTAAGTGAATCCAGTTTGTCAAATGAGTGTTTTTTTTTGCTGGAAAACAGCAAACCAAAAGGTTGCAAATTGTAATCGTGTGACTGCAGAATGCTGCAATAGGTGTAAATATGAGCCAGATGCCAAGTGCCTGAATTGTGAACATGTGATGGTGAGGCTGATACGATGGTTGTAAATTCAAGTGATTTTCTCCCTCATAACTTTGAACCATTGTTAAATGTTTGAAAGTCAAGGACCACCTTTAAAGTTGATCCTTAAAAAATATCAGAAACTGGCAAAAGTAGTTAAAACTTTAAAAAGCCAGTAAAAAAATATTTTAACAAATGAAAGAACATTCATTACGGAAAATAAAATTCAATAGAATTCAATAACTCGAATTTCTGGTTTGGGAAAAAAAAAAGTCTGGTCTCAGAATATCCTAAAATTTCTTAAACAGGTTTCATGTGTTTCAAACCCAGACTAATTCAGTGAGTTATCTTTTGGCCTGGGTGCTGCTAAAAATGTAATAGAAAAAAGATATATTTGTTGTTGCTGTGTTTTATTTTAATGGTCTAGCTTATGTGGGGGATAAAATGTTATTTGTGCTTTCAGCTGAGGCTATTAAGGAAGTGTTTCCGGATAAAGAAAGTACTGAATCCAGGTAAGCTTATTTCAATCAAAGAGGTTTTGTGAAAGTAATAAATTATTGATTGAAGACAGCTACTGTAGTTTAATATGGAATATCTTTGATAAGCAGTTAATTTTATTTAATCATTTTGATTCATTTATTACATGGCGTCAAAGAGATGCTCAGACCTGAACAAAAGTAAATAAAAATAAATACTAGATCAACAAAAGAAAGAATTGGTGGAAACTCTCTTGCATTAAAGCAAATGATTTCTATTTTCCTTATGTAGAGTGACTGGAAAAAAGGAACAAGACATTTGAATACTGCCTGTAGTAATTAGAGCTTGCTTTTCACACACAGCAGTCTTTCAAATTCTTTCACTTTCTTAGCTTTATTACAATACAATCTAGTTATCAAAATAGATTCTTCTGCATTCTTGTGTGGCATTTTAATTATTCTCCATGAAGCCTAATGTACAGTGATGTATGTCAATGGGGTCTGGAACACCCTACCTAGGTCATTTTGGTCTACTTCTAGTTTGGAATCTTAAACTGCCAACCTCTGGAAAAAACACAATCTAGATAGAGGGAAGTTTTTGCATGGACTAGAGCAGCTGTCACAACTGATGGTCCGTGGATCACTGGTGGTCCACGAGAAAATTTTGGTGGTCCTCAGAAAAATTATTTGCATTTTTATATTGGACTAAATCAGGGATCCTCAAACTACGGCCCCTAGGACAAATAAATGCAATGAACATTTGTGTTGCTGCGGAAAGTCTCCCCCTTCGGGGTCTTTTTGTGTGGGTCGGAGGGGGGCAGAAATTCTCATATGGCGTCTGCTTTGGCCTCCTGGTGCAGGGCTTTGGGCGAATACTGGAGGGAAGCACAGCTGGTGGCGAAGAGCCGGAGGACCTTGTTCCAGTGGGATTGCATCATGGCCTGGAACTGGCTGACCATCTCAGCCCGCTGAGCCTCCAGGCCTTGCACTCCCACAGGTCTTCCCTCTGCTTGGAAAGCCTATGCTCCTAGCCCTCAGTGAGGTGCTTCTGCTGAGTCTCCTTCTTGACCAGATCCAATTTGAACTGAGCCAGCTGTTTTACCAACTCTTTCTTGTGGTGGCTGCTTAGCTCCAACAACTGCTTCCTATTGGGGCCCTAAGGAGCCCGGGCAGGAAGGCGAGGAGGGGCTGGGTGGGGAGGGGCAAGTAGAGACCAGTGAGGCGCTCCTCAACACGAGTGACATCGAGTTGGCCACGCCCACCCAGTCACCTAGCCACACCCAGCCAGCCAGTCATTAGGCAGATCATATTAGTGGTCTGTGGGATTTAAAATTATGAATTTAGTGGTCCCTGAGGACCAAAAGGTTGGAGATCCCTGGACTAGAGAGTAACAGAACTGTTTAGAATCTGTGAGCGTTGCACAGCCTTTATTAAAATCTTACTATTAAAAAGAAATCTGTAGTTAATCGATATTATATATCTCTCTGTTCTTTTTTTCTCTCGTAGAGCAACATTAGATTCTACGTCTCATTCTCAGAAGGTAAGTTAAAACAGATGTTTATAAAAGCATGTTGATGTAAGCAGAGCACCCCTTCATAAAGTATTAATCAGCCACTTTGATAGAATGTGTAGCTACTTCTAAGGCTGACTCTAACTGTGTATGTGTGCTTATATAAGCCTGTCAAAGAAGTCTTTTGAATGGGAGGGATTTGCTGTCATTAACAAACGTTGCAAAGGATCTCTTTTGAATGCTTGGCTCTGTTCTGTCTACTGAACTGCATTTTGGAACTTCAACTGGATAATTTCTAACTGATCAGATTTCATATATTTAGTAATAATTTTCTGTCCCCAGGATAAAGGCACATCTGTAATACTACTGGGACTATTCGCTGTCCCATATCAGAGCACATGTTAAATTTCAGGTAGCCATCTATAAATGTATTTTCTTAGTGTTTCCAAAGGAAACAGTTACTTCATCGTTAAATGATAGAAGTTTGACTTTTTTATGGTTGGTACCATATAATTGCTTATTAAATTTATACTTTCCTACATCATACCACATTTGTGAGCTTGTACTATGGGATGAGAAAATTCATATGCAGCTTACCCTTGGCCAAATGTAATTCTTCCTTGTGTAATGTGACTGACACTATAGAGCAGAGTCTGGCATGTAGATAAGAACATATAACTTTTCTTGCCAAGCCTTGAACATTTTGGTTCTCGGAAGTAGGAACCTATGAGTGTGTATTATAGTATTCATAATAATGGAGAGTTGTATAATCTCTTACATAAACTGTTCTGGAGATGACTGGTACAATAAAAACAACTGTTTCTGTTTGGAGCTTTACATTCCTAAGTTCTTTTACTATTTTTTATTGTTTTAAAGCAGTTTGTATTAAAGTGACATGAACATCATATTTGTGACTGTCTAACTAAAAAGCTGTTTATTAATCTTTATTGTCACAAAGGTCATTGATCTGAAAGAATATACAAATTATATCTTGGGAGCCTTATGATTCTTGCTAGTGTCAGATCATCTGGAAAGCAAATATTTCTGAATCCGCCAAACTTAACCTGCGGTGAAAAATTTCTGGCCCATTTCTGTGCTTGATATTTCTGAACCAGGCATTGGACTTTGGTTTAATTATACTTATAAAATAAGAATTCTCTGCCACTTAAGCCTCATTGATTTCAGTGGGTGAAACGTAAATTTCAATTAAAAAAATTATAGTACTACATTCGGTTCAGAAGCATCTTAAATTTAGGTTAAACCATTAAAGCAATAGCTTAGTCAACTAATAATTCTATGTACCTTGCTTGGAAAGGAATTCAAAATGTGATTACCTTTATCATAGGTTGATGAAAATCTCAACAAAACCCTTTGTTCTAATAAGACTGGTATGCCAGAGACTCCCCAATCCGAAGGAAAACAGCATAAAGGAGACAGGGAAGGTCAGTATATTAGCTAAGTAGCAAAAGTAGCCAACTTTGAAGCAGATGGGACATGCCTAAGGAATACAAACATTAACCATATTTATTCAGTACTAATCCAGTTATTTGAGGGCAAGTTTAATAATAGTAATAGTTTTAATAAGGGTTTTATTTCAGGGGGTGGGGAGGAAAATCTCCCATCTTCCATTGGTGATCAGATTTCATTTATACCTGGCATTTTTGCTCTGTGAAGTAAAGCACCTAATAAAAAAAAGTAAAGCCAAAACAATATAAAAAGCTAATACAAAATGAAATTAGCAATGTCACTCATGCCTTAGTCTTTCTGGAGTACTGCAGTATCTTCTTCATCTCAAGCTGCGCTTGAAGATGACTCAAGCTAAAATTGTTCCAGAATGTAGCTGCTTATGCAACATGGGTGCCTCTGTAACAGTGCATCTCAGAACATGGCTGCCTCTAATGCCTTTCATGGTGCGTCAGCTGGATATTTGCAAGACTGTCTGTTTCTAGTTATCTTTGCCATCCTTTAAAACTAGAGTTCCGGTGATCTGGGTTGGATCAATTAAACATTATCACCTTATGGGGCCCAGGAAGCATACTTTTTGGGTCTGCCATATCAAACAACCTTCACCCTGAAATGGGTTTTGCTCTACTGGCCTTTAAGAAGGTCTAGAGCAGTGATAGCGAACCTTTTCGGCACCAAGTGCCAAAAAGGGTGCGCGCGTGCGGCACCAAGTGCAGAAAAGAGAGCACTTGTGTGCACTCATCTAGGCCAAGACCAGGAATAGGATTGCCCAGGGGTGTGCATCCGCTGGAGAATGTACTTGCAGTTTCTTCAGGTTACTGCCGCGCATGCGCACATGCCGATCAGCTGGCCAGCGCACGTGCTCACTGGAAAATTGGTTTAAAAACCTGTGCATCTCTTATATTAGAGTGTCAACCTTTTACTTAGAATCTTTATTCAGGTTTTTTTTTTGTTTGTTTGTTTGTTTGTTTTTTGTTTTTTTTTGTTTGTTTGTTTGTTTGTTTTTTTTGCCAAGAAGCTGACTGGCCAAACTTGAGTTGCTGCTCTCTTGACTTTATACCTATCATAATGGGGTTGCAACCATCATGGATCAAATCTCTAAAACTTTGCTATCTACTGATCATTTGCATTTTTGCTTCTTAGATAAATTGATGCCAGGCCTTGACTTCAGTTCTAGTGCCACCCCTGTCCCCCCAAAAGGCCACCTTGTGCTTTTCCCTGTGGCCCTTTGAGGTTGGTACTATTGCCTCAGGGCTAAGCACTCCCGACGTGCATCCCTTGCCTTCAGGTGGTGTCTTTGTGTTAGCCAGGCCCTGCAACCTATTCAGGGCTGTTCCTGGTCAAACAAAACCTTTGCTCTTGAAGTGGCTTAGGTGAATGCTCTTCCGTGACCTCTGCTATCTCTGAGACCATTCTTAAGTATCCCTCACTCCCCCCTCACCCTTTTCCTGATTATGGAGGCACTCGAGGCCATTTGAGAGCACACCCCATGCTTGTGCAGCCTCCAGAAATCACACAACAAATGGACATGTTTTTGAGAATAGTTGTTGAGTGAATGCTGGTGTCTCACTCAAAACATTGTGGCATGTCACCTTTGACAGCATGTCATGGGTTTACCATCATTTAGTTTACACTAAACAGATTGTATTTTCTATAAAAAATAATTTGTACACATATGAATATTTTGCCCTGACAATTGACTATTTACTGTGTTTCTCAAAAAAGATGACCCTCCTTGAAAAGAAGCCCTATCATGTTTTTGAATGCATGCAATCAAATTAAGCCCCACCCACAAAATTAGCCCTAATTAAGACCCCCGCCAACCCTGGGGTGCAAGGGGTGGGGCAAGGCACACAGGTAAAAAAATAAGCTAGGGTGAGGATGGGGGGTGCAGCTGCCCTACTTACCAGGCCTTGAAAACCCCAACATCTTCTGCGGCCGTGTGCCGCCATTCGTACACATCTCCCTGGCTTTCGTTTTGCATTCAGATGCCAGCCGGAAGGCATCTGCAGCCAATAACAGAGTTGTTATCGGCTGAAGATGCCTTCTGGCAGACATTTAAATGCAAAACAGAGGCCGGAGTAATGCGTGCGAGTAGCAGCAAGCGGCCGCCGAAGAAGTGAGCCAGCAGCAGCTTCTGGGCGGAGCTGTCAATGCCACTGGTGCGAGGTGAGTCAATAATTAGAACCCTCCAAAAAGAAGGCCTAGCCCTTTTTTCGGTGGTCAAAAGAAAATCATCTTTTTGGAGAAACACAGTGTTTATTTGCTGATGAAACAACTTTGCCTCTGCCTAACTTGGTCAAACCCTTGAATGCTCATCCTCTATTTTTCTTTAGATGCAGAAGACAGCTCTGAAATGAGTGATGAGTTACAAAAGCAGCCTCTAAGTGCCCGGTACGTTTCTTACTTCTTTTTGACAAAAGCTATGAAATACTGATCTAGGGAGATGGAGGAAAATAAGAAAGGAAACCTCTCTACTTTGTTCTTTGAGTATAGAAGGTAGTCAGGGTTAGTAAAGATAGCTGAAAATGAAAGGATCTGCAAATCTTAATACTGAAAGTCAAAAAGCAAACTGGAAAGAAATGGGATTAAAAATTTAAAAAAGAAGACAAAAGTAATTACAATAGGTAGAGCAACCAGCCTTTGAATTGGCAATGAAGATACTGAAGTAATGGATAGCTTTTTCCTTTCAGGATCAATCACTTCAACAGTAAAGACAAAAGCAGTCAAGAAATACATTGAAGATTAGCACTTGTTAGACTAGCCATAAAGACTTTGAAAAAGATATTCAAATGCCATATATATCAATACTATCAAAATCAAAAGATCAAAATCATGCAGGCCATGGTATTCCCTGTGACACTCTATGGAAGTCAAAGCTGGATTTTAAAAAGCAGGCTAGGAAGAGAAATGACACCTTTGAACATTGGTGTTAGAGAAGACTTCCAAGAATACCATGGACAGTCATGAAAAACAAACAGTTGGATTATTGAACAAATCAAACCAGAGTTCTCAGCTCTCTGGAAAAAAGTTGTAATGCTAAGAATGGTGAAAGAGGATGACCAGCAGCAAGAAGGATAGATTCACTTACAGTGGTGGCGAGAGCACCATTGGGTAGAAGAATCTATCACTGGTTTCTAGGAGTTAAAAACAACTTGATGATAATCACAATAAGTTTTAAATCTTTGTAGCTAATTGCAGGGAACTATGTGATTTAATATCAAAAGCTATATTCCTTCCCAGTTCTTCTGTGTGCTCAGAACAGATGCAATCCTCTTCCCCAAATCTTTCAAGGATTTTGAAACTTCTCTGCTTTCAGAGCATTGTAATCTTAAATTCAATAGGAAAAAAGGCTGCACAGTTTCTTTCTGTTTTCCTTGCCTCTGTTTCTCACAGCACCCCCAGTGAAGTGTGTGATGTAGCAAACCCACCAAGAAGAAAGCTCAGCAGGTCCAAGTCACAGGACAAAAAAGAGTCATTGGTTTCAGGCCAAGCTATTGAGGGAATTCCTGCTGCTAGTCTTCCCAGCCATCTGCGCAAATACTAAGAAATGCTCAGCAGAAGCCTCCCACAGAGCAGTCCCCCCAGGGATTCTACCAGCTTCCTGCCAAAATAATCCAGTGGTGCCTCTATGTACCCCCTGCCAAGGTGGGCTTCATGTAGTTTTTCAGATCTTAGTGCTCCACATCTCTCAGCATGCATTACCTTTGCTTAATGCTGATGACAGTTAGTATTTAATAAACTTTGCAGGTTATTCTGCATCCCAGACATAAGGAAACTATTCTCGGGAGCCACCAATGGGAGAAAAGAACAATAATAACCTTTCCAGATAGTTAAAACCAAAGGGGGGCTTTTCTTTTCTTTTCTTTGGAAACCTCAAGAGAATTTTCTTGGAAAAAAGAAAAAATTCCCTAGAGCCTTAGCATTTAATTTTCCTGTACTATATGGGAGGCAATTACTGATAGGCTGCTAAAGTGATAATCTTATAAAGACACTGTATCCTTTCCCCTGTCTGTATCTCAAATTTTAGGTTAAGGGGTTTTAGATGCAGTGGACTTCTACCTCATTAAATAGTTACCAAGCAGCTATTTTGCCCCTGAGTAATTTGTGAGTTTGAAAGACACAGGATATAAAATTTTATATTTGCCACCTGTATCTGAGGCAAGGAAATGTTAGGGCTGAGTCGTGATGTCCAATGAGCCCTTTATAATCTTGCAGGAGAAAGCCAAGCTATAAAAGAGCAATTAGTGATAGAGATGATGGACAGCACACAGAAGATGAGCTCTCCCCACCAAGAAAAAAGACTCTATCTCCTCAGTGTCCTGCCAGCAAGGTAAGACAAGCATTATATCCCTGAAAGTACACCCAGGACAAAGGATTGACTTCCATGGATTGATAATGTTCTGGGTTTTTCAGGTTGTGCGTCCTTTCAAAACATTCTTGCACACAGTGCAGAAGAACCAGATGCTGATGACTCCTGCCTCTGTAAATCGAAACAACACAATAAAATCATTCCTCCGGCAGAACACTCCACTCCGCTTCACTCCCAGGGTAATTTAAAGTACTCTGTATTTAATGACAAAAAAAGAGGGGAGGGACATCTGAATTGATGGTGGAAGTTGCCCCTCGTCAAAAGTTGTAAACATCAAGAAGTTCAAGTTCTTAGTCTTGTTACTAAATTTAGCTAAGAACATAATCTCACATTGCATTTATTCTGATTGTTAACTCAGGAGTTTACACAAATGTTCAGTTTGAAAGTCCCTGCTTGAAGCTCTTTGGGTTCAAATAGCGAAAAGCTTTGAAGTACTGTATGATTATATTCAGTTGAGTTGAGCTAATAAAAGAGCGAGGTTGAAAAGCAAGAATGTGAACAATTGATGAAAGAAACAAGGTTTAAGAAGGACCAGGGTAAGCAACTTCTGAACAGGTGAAATTGTGGACTAGTGGCAGCAAGAAAGTCGATAGGCAAAGGGCCAAAGAAACTGAAAGGCAAGCATGGGGTTTGGGAGATGCATTGTTTTGAAATTCTGAGCAATGTCTTTAGATTTAGCTCTTTGTTAAACCTGAAAGCTCAATAATTTTGCCTCATGCAAAATTTGTATATAGCCTTTAAGTTCAGTTCAGTTCCCATATGAGTTTCTGGCAGATAGTTCAGTCCTTTGTTGCTTCTTGAGTTAAATATCCCAGCAGGTTGCTCTTATTGATTCTAATTCAGTCTGAATTAACGAAATGTGTAGTAGGGCAGGATCCTATTTCAGCCCTATTGCGGGCAATATACAGATACTGAAAAGATTTTCTAACACCCGAATATATTTATTAACCATTTCTCAATCTTTTCTTTACACAGGGAGGGTTTGTTGTAAGTAACAAGAATGCTCTTACAGTAGGTGCATTTGTGCATAATTAACCCAGTGTGTGTTGTCCAAAGCTGTCCTAACTTGCATAGAGATCTTTTTTAAGGGAAGCCCAGCATATTAGTGTTTTTCAACTAAATTCTACTAAAAAGTAGATAGTGCATATACATTATTAGAATTGTACTACTTATTGTGATAGCCTTCAATATTTCAGAATATTGTACATTATTTCATCTAATTCATGTCTCAACTTAGATCCATTTTTCAAGCTAAGAAATTGCAACAAAAAAACTAGGCTATCTTTGGATCACTTCATGTATATTAATAATACAGCTGCTTTTAAGGTGTGCAGTGTGAAGTGTAAATAAAATACAACATTCATGCTGACATGCTTAGTATATTTGTACAAGTAGTCCTTGTTTAGCGACTGCCTTGTTTAGCAACTCTGCAATTAAAATGGTGATTAAAAAATAACTTTATGATCAATCCTCACATTTACAATGTTGGCAGGTCCGCAAAGCAAAGGAAAACTGAAGTAAAATGGTTAAGCAGAGTTGTGGTTTCGCTTAGCAATCTCTTGGCCTAACTGCCTAGTTCCATGATGATGAACCTATGGCACATGTGCCACAGGTGGCACGCAGTGCCCTCTCTGAGCATGCGAGCTGTCGCCCCAGTTTAACTGCGCTGCGCATTTGCGCACGCCTCCTGCCAGCCAGCTGGTCATCAGTTCTTTGCCACACATGCATGGGGGGTGGGGCGCATGCATGGCCGACGTGCGTGCATTGCATTTTGGGGGTTTGGGCTCGTGTGCCCACATTTGCACACACACATGCACGTGCTTTGGACACTCGGTCCAGAAAACGTTAGCCATCACTGGCCTAGTTGTTTCCAAAAGCAAAAGGGCTGCCAGTGGGGGGAGAGATATCTTCTGAAGGACAGCGGAAACCTCAGGTCCCAAAGACCTCCTTGAGTGGAAGAGAACTGGTCCAGCAGGCATAAATTGAGGGCAATCTGTAAAGGGTGCTAAAACTTAAGTATGTGATATGTTTAAGGTTTTATCAAGGCTTTGTTTTAAATCCCCAGTCCTGATTCTTTTTTATGCCAATTGCTTGAAAATTTCAGGAATTTGTAGTGGCAGTGAACACGACTTACAGGAGCAAAGTTGGGCTTGCAAACAACTACTTAAGCTCTTACATTTCCCTCCCCCCCTTTGAAAATTCTGAGTAATTGGCACTATTAATTTGTATACACAGAAAACATTCTGTTCCTGAAGTAATGTTGAGAAGAACTCTGGAATATCCCACCATTTTTTCCCCCAGGCCTCACTAAACCAGTTGTCTTGGTATTGACTCAAAAATATTTAAGAATACCTATTTCTGCTAATCTATTTCAGAAAGCTTTTAACAACCTAAATAAATGGCTGGAACATCATGGTCCAGGAAAAAATAATCCTTGATGCCCTCAGAAACTTTCCATCTTCCAAATAGGGTGGTTTATTTACTGTACTTTTCAAAGTATAAGATGCACCCCCCCCCAAAAAAAAGAGGGTGGAAATCTTGATGTGTCTTATACACCGAATACAGCCATTTTTGCCCTCCTGAAATCCTGCCCGCGGGTTCTGTTTTTGCCAAAAACAGGTCTATTTTTGGCAAAAATGGGATGTGCAGAGTGTTTGGGGGCCTGCAGAGTGCTCCTGTGGGCTGGGGAGGGCAAAAATGTGACATGTGGGGGGTTTGGGAGGCCAAAAACGGGCTTTTTTGCCCTGCTTAGCCACCAGGAGCACTCTGTAGGCCTCCCAAACCCTCTACGTGCCCCATATTTGTGAAAAACGGACCCATTTTTGGCTTCCAAATCTCCAACATGTCACGTTTTTGCCCTCTCCAGCCCCCAAGAGCACTCTGCAGGCCTCCCAAACCCTCTGTGCATCCCGTTTTTGTGAAAAATGGGACGTGCAGAGGGTTTGGGAGGCTTGCAAGAGTGCTCCTGGGGGCCAGGGAGGGTAAAAACTTTTCTTGTTTACCACTTCGAAATCTTGGTGCATCTTATAATCCGCTGTGTTTTATAGTCCGAAAAATACAGTAGTTTCTGAATCCATTGCAGTTTTACCATGAAATGTGTTCGCTAGAGTAGGTTACCTTTTTTTTTTTGGCTAAAACCACAATTCTGCTTTTGACCTTTCACCTCAGCAAGGACCTTTACAGTCACAATAAAAATGAATGCAGCTTTTCATAAGATCCTAAGATAAGCTTCTTCCCTCTCTTCTTCTATCTAGGAAAAAGAGAGGCAGCGGTTAGAGAATCTGAGGAAGAAAGAAGAGGCCGAGCATCAAAGAAAAAGGAAAATGGAGGAGGAAAAGAAACGGCGATTAGAGGAGATGAAACGGTGTGGATTTGAGTCCTTCTGGCTGCCTCTTTTGTAATTTCCCCCAATCTTTTTGACTTTCTTCTAACCGGTCTCATGTGTGCCCTCAGTAAACGTGAAGAGCGCCTACAAAAGGTGTTGCAGGCTCGGGAGCGAGTAGAGCAGTTAGAAGAAGAAAAGAAAAAACGACTTGAACAAAAGTTGGCTCAGCATGAAGAGAAGAATGAGAAGGTAAATGCAATGAGAGAGCTTTTGGGGAAGATGGGATCTCTACATAGTATCTAGCTGTAAGATACTGCTAGCACTGTAACTTCTGCTAAAGCCAGGTAAGATTGTTAAAATTATGTTCTTATCCTCTCAGCTCAAAACTACCACATTACTATTTATATCAGATTTTTCAGACTTGTGCAAAGAAAATATCAATTTTTAGCTTTTATTTCCTTTTTTTTAAAAAAAACTTGCTTTTTAATCTGTAACAAAAGAGAAAAAGAAAATAATCCAATACAGTAATAAATGATAATGCAAAAAAACAAAAGAATAAAACTAAACCTTAGAAAGAAGATAACAGTAATAAAAACAGAAACGACATATACATAGAACAACGAAATATGATCATAATCAACTCTTAAATAATAAATTAAACCTTGGCCACCCAGAACCATGTTTATCAGATTTCTCACAGCATTGATGGAATTCATCTATACCGTGTTTCCCCGAAAATAAGACACTCTTATTAATTTTTTGAACCCTGAAATAAGCGCTTGGCCTTATTTTCAGGGAGGTCTTATTATTTTGGGGCGTGTGGAGTAAGACGGGGATCCTCTTTCCGTCTTACCTGATTTCCAGCTCTATCTCCCTAATCCTAACCAGAGGAAATGGCGGGGACTGGCTGCGCATGCGGTTAAATGTTTTGGGGGAGGGCTTATTTTTGGGGAAACACAGTAGAAACTTTTAACTCGGATACAGCAGAACATCTTCTGAGCTACTGCTGTTCCCATGCTGAATAAATACATGTTCTTCATACTTCACTAGGTTCCAAATTTTTCAATATAATTCCACACCACATTCATATTTTGGACTTAGTTTTTTTCTAAGCCGCTGCTTTACAACTCTAGAGGCTCCCGTCCATGTATAGATCATAAGACCCTTTTATGGTTCTTACTTCTCTACTTACTCTAACGCTTTCCTACCGATATGTTAGTAGAATTGTTTTCTAATAATCTGAGGTGAGGAATACATTAAAATTGTAGAAAAACAAAGCACCCTCTTCCCCATTTTTTCTCAAAGCTGGAAACAAAACTCCCTTCTATGTGTTTGTGGCATGGTCCTATGCGCTACAGCCCTCCATGATGGAAATACTGCTTGCCCAGTTGGCATAATGTATTATCTGCTCTGTTATTATCTTGAACAAAATATGTTCTATGTACCAGGCAAGTTGTGTATTTTAGGTCCGTGAGGAAAAAATGGCAGAAGGCAAAATTAAGAAAAGGGCAGTGGCTAAGAAGCTAGAAGAACTCGAAGCCCGGCGCAAGCAAGAGGAAGATGCCCGCAAACAGAGAGCACTGCAACTGGTAAAGTAGAGGGTTGATTGGCAAAAGCAGGGCAGTGGTAGACCTAGGGGACTGAAGAAGGGGAAATGAATACATTCCTATTTGTTATTGACATGTTTCTTTTAATTTCTGCTGATTTGGGGAAGTCTTTAGATTACCCAGATTAAATGTGTTTATATCATGAGCATCAAGGAAAACCTGGTTTGTAAAACAGATTATAACTAATCTTATCCAATGCAGATTTGAATCCATCCAAAATCATAGCAATGGAAAAAGCACTTGGATGAGTCATTTGCCTGATAGCACCCACATTAGTATAGTGGTTGCAAAAGTGCACCCACTAGGAAGATCAAGTTCAATTCTTGGTTTAGTCTTTCTTCCTATATAGAACTTTTTTCTGAGAAACTGTTCCCCCATAGTCAAGATAAGCTTCAAAATGTCACTGTGTATAATTGGAATAATTTTTTGGCCTCTTTTTTTTCTTTACAATCTTACATATTGAGAATTGAGTAGCAAAAAAAACCCCAGGATGCTTCAGTTCACAATCTCATATGTGATTATGGAAGAGATGTAGCTAGTATGATGTATGATTTTTCCTGTGACTCCTCTATGATTTTCAGATTAACTGGCTTTCAGTTGGAAAATAACAAGATCTTTTCCTAGGAGGAGGAAGAACGTAGACATAAGGAATTGATGCAGAAGAAAAGAGAGGAGGAACAAGAAAGAGCAAGAAAGATTGCAGAACAACACCAGGCTGAGCTGGAAAGAGAAAAAGAACTGTCTGCTAAGAGAGAACTGGAGAAGAAGCAAGAGCAGGAAAAGATTCAGGCACAGCGGTAAGAATAGAGTAGCTGAGCATTCTTCCATGAATTCCCATAAAAGTAGGCATGGGAAGGTTTCTGAGGTGCACAAATATATGATTAGGGTACCTGGAAGTATAGCTAGGACTGCCATGGGGTTCACGTTAATGATGAAAAGATTGATTGCTTTTTTCTTCAGATGGTAATTGTAGCGTGTTTGCTTACAGGAAGCATGAACAGCAAGAAAAAGAAAAGGCTGCACGCTTGCAGAGAGAGGTTTTACAAGCAGCTAAAGAAAAAGAGAGGCTCAGGAAAGAAATGGAGGAAAAAGAGTGGAAGTTGGTAAGGGACTCCTCCATCTCTCTCTGAATGTCTTCTGTTATGTTTGCCCTCCATCCATCTCATCTGGATCCTGTTGTGGAGCAACAGCACTGACCTCTCTCAATATTGTATGGTCTCTTTAGCAGGAGCAACGGAAGCAAGAAGAGGAACTATTGAAAACAACTTCAGAGGCTCAGGCAAAGGTTGCTAATAAGCAACTGAATGTAACCGTGACTATTGAGGTAACCTCAGAATTACCCTGAATAATTAGCAAAAAGTAACAATAACCCTAAATATATGGTCTTAAAGATTATATTGGAAAGCAGGTTACCTCTAGCAGTCTTAAGATTTAAAATATAGAACCATTTTTAGTAATGCCAATAAAGTAGAATTCCACCTTTTCAATTGTTGAATAGAAACATCTCTTTGTATACACTTCTGCTGGGAATTGTAGCTTGGCAGCATCTGGAGAGGCAGTCACTTTTTATTATTGTTGGTGGTGTTGTATTTAAAGGGTATAATTCAGTGGTGAAATGTAAAATTTCTTACTGCCAGTTCTGTGGGCGTGGCTTGGTATGTGTGTGGGGGGGGGTAATATGACTGAGTGGGCGTGGCCAACTTTTTTTTAAAACTTTTAAAATCATTTTTTCTACAACCTCTTCAGCTGAAGAGGTTGTAGAAAAAATGCTTTTAAAAGCCTCTGATGAGCTCAGCTGAGCCATGCGATCATCAGAGGCTTTTTTTTTTTTTACTTTTAAAAGCGTTTTTTCGGCCAAAGAGATTGTAGAAAAAATGCTTTTAAAAATAAAAATAAAAAAGCCTCTGATGATTGTGCAGCTCAGCTGGGGAATATGGGGGGAGAGGAATTTTTGCCACCGGTTCTCTGAACCACCCGCCTCCATTGCTACCGGATCAGGTGATCCAGTCCGAACCGGGAGCCTTTCACACCTGGTATAATTGCCCATCTTATAACAAATTGAGTGGCTCCCAATTAATTACTCTACAATAAACACAATCTGACACTGAATAAATCAGAATAAAATATCCTTGGTCCTAAAAATAACAAATAAGAATGTTGGCCTATTTTATTGCTCTGTCATTTTAATATCAAATCTGCTTCTCCCATCACTCCTCCCTCTTTGTGTGTGTTGTGTTGGGGAAGGGGGTTTACTGTGTTTCTATATGTGTCTCTCTGAGACATCTTTTCACAGATTTGGAAAAACCTGAAAGTATCAAGTTAAAATCTAAGGAAAGAAAATAAACTTGTTAGAAAGAAATATCTGGATTTGTACATTGTATTTTAAAAAAAACCCTGCTTCCTAGAGCTTGTTGATGGAAAAATAAGGCTATTCGAATATTTTTTTTTTCATCAAATAGAATGGAACTTTGGATCTTTGGGTTATGCTTTACCACAAATGTCCAAAACTGCTTAAAAGGAAGGGAGGGTGCAGCTCAGACAATTAGGACCTACTGCTGCCATTGTTGGAAGAACTAGAGAGTTTATTTGGGAATGAGGATGAATAAATTATGTGGGTTACTCGTGTGAAATAGTGGGAAACTACTAGCAGATATCCCCTAGCATGTGCTGTAACTCTTTTAGTAGTTCCAGGATCCAGTTCCAGTGACTTGATTTTGCTGCTGACATTCTTTTTTCTAGAACTCACCTCTCTGTAATTCATATCCAATGACACCTCAAGGCCCCAAACAACCCAAGATTGATATAAATAATTATGGAATGGATTTGAACAGTGATGATTCAACAGATGATGAGAGTCAGCCCCGCAAAACTATCCCTGCTTGGGCTTCTGGTATGTTGAAACCCATCTGTGTTTCTTTGAGTCACATTATAGCTAAGCACTCCCTTAGATCTTAGATCTCCCTAATCCAGTGTTCTGCAGATGTATGGAAAGTACAGCTTCTATAATTGCTAAGAATTCAGAGAGACAAAATAGTAACATGAGAAGAGGGTGCTAGGTTGTGGAAGGCTTCTCAGTATTTTATAGAAACTGTTACAACAAAATATGGTAGTTCACCTTACATGCTTTTAAAAATTGGCAGACAGATTTACAGAAAACATCTTTATCCTGCATTAGCCTTGAGTGCTGAACAGAACATCTGTGCTCAGAAGCTGTGTAATAGCCATTAGTACTTTGGAAGAGTGAGTGAGATGCTGGGCTAGATATGACCAGTGTAACTATTTCTGTAGTCTAATAAGATTTTCAAGCATCTTCTAAACATGCTTGCTTAAAAACAAATCAGAGCTTAATACAACATGGAATTGTACTTCTTCTAAAGATCTGGGCTACTAAAAATATGAAAATTCTGTGTAATGTGACAATACAGTATTTGTTATGTATCTGAAGACTTGACATAGTTTTTTAAATGTGATTTAGCACTTGGTCTTTTAGCACACTTTGTGAATATACTTTTAAAATGTGCTAGGAAGCAGAATTTCTATTTCCTGTTGGTTTTAGAATGGTGACTTTATTTTTAATATAGAGAAAATACTTTATAGAAATAGCATAAATACATTTCAGATAATTTACAATTAAAGTTGTATATAAGATGTCCATCTCTCTTATTGGCCAGTTCTGTTAAGTATATTTTGACAGGCAGATTTCACTGCTTCTAGTAGGAATCTATAATGGTTCAAAAATATTTCAGGAAGGAAATGCTTTGCTAACAAAATCAAGATCAATTCTAATTTCAATCTGGTTTTTGTTTTTTCATTTTAAAATGTTCATAATAGTTGCTACTGTCTTTTGTGTGAATTTAAATTATGAGGAAAGAAGACCCTTTCCTTGGTGAGACCGGGGAAAATTTATCCATTCTTCCTTGGGAACCCTTGCTGTGTGCATTTTAAGAACTGAAACCTCACAATACAAACCATCAATGGCAGTCAATATATTGGTTCTTCCCTTCCTTAGGAAATCAACTAAGCCAAGTAATCCTGCATCAATATTATAATCCACCAAACACCAAAGCGCTCTTTGGAGTGGTGAAGAGTCCCAAGTTGGAAGAAATCTTCGATAAGAGCAAGCCACGTTATTTCAAGCGCACAAGCTCTGCAGTGTGGAATTCTCCACCTTTCCAAGGGGGCAAATCTGTGTCTTCTGCCTTCAAGAGGTTCTGATGCCTGTTCAGTCTAATGTGTGTCTGGTTATGTTTGTCAAAGGAGAAAATGAGTTGCTTTTTAATAGTGTTGTACACTCTTTTATCCATATTAATAAATATTATACTCATATAATGAAGTTGTTGTCTGTGCTCACAGTGCCTAAGTGACCTAGGATTGACAACAATATTAGAATGATCCTACGTTGTGTAGCTATTGGAAACCTTTGTGGAGAGTAAGGGAGTTGACCTTGATAGAAACATATGCAAACCGTTACCTAGGCAAAGAGGTTTTAAACATTATTTAAGTCCTAGGAAGCAAGATAATGTTTGGAAGCAGCTCAGCCAAATGTTTGCCTGATTTACTGAGGTATAAGAAGACGGGTGGGGGGTACAGTACTATTAGACATGCAAGATTCTGTTTCTATAGCCTACCTCAATAAAGTATATTATTTTCTAATCTGTTCTGTCTAGTACGATTGACATGTAGGACCAAGAATAAGGACATGTCTTCACTTGGCATTGAATGACTTTCGGTAATTGCTCATTCTAACCTATCATTAGATAACTGTGAATATAAATTGGGAGAGATCAAGCCCTTGAAGGGGGCAGAGGGGATAGAAATGCACCATTGAGCATGCCTAAGGTCATCTTATATATTTTTGAACTTTATTGTTAGACGTGAAAGAGCAGGGGTCCACGGCCCACTACTGAGCTGTGATCTATTCACAACCAGGCCATCAAAGCGGGAGACCAACATGCATGCGAATTGGACCATTACTCATGTGGCCCAGTCCCCCGTCCCCCCTGCCAAGCTGCAAGGTAGGGGACTGCTGTGATAGAGAATGCAACTGCTGATAAAGGGGCTTAGTTTTCAGTCTAGCTATGGATAGGATTAGCTGCTATTAATCTCTAGTTTCCTTAATAAATTGCATCAGTCTTTTGATTACTTTGTCCCATAATATATTTGCCTTAGCAAAGTTGCTCCTCTTCCACCCTTGTTCTAAGGCACAAACCATAGTTACAAATAAAAAAAGTTTCATGCAACAAGTTACATTTCTATACCATACAATTATGAGCTAACACAATGCATGAATTCTGCCATTTAGATTGTTCTGGAATGCTTCTGCAAAAACACCATCTGAAAATTTTGAGGAAAAAAATATCAGCCAGTAAAGCATATCACTAAATGGCAGGTAGTTTGTTTTTAGAAACTAATATACTTACCAGCTTTTTTATTATATAGAGAATATATGGTCATATTATTTATTTATTTATTTATTTATTTGATTTCTATACCGCCCTACTCCCGAAGGACTCAGGGCGGTGCACAGCCAAACAATAAAACACATACATACAAAATTTAAAAGTAGAATAAAATCAAATTAAATAATTTTGGCCCCAACAAATTTAAAACCCCAAACTTTTAAAACCAATTTAAAATTGAATGTATAAAATACTAAAAGATATTTAAAAATTAAAAATCTTTTATAAAAGAGGGAGAAAATTAGGCCAGGCCGGCCTGGTGAAATAGTAAGGTCTTTAAAGCGCGGCGGAAGGTGCGTAGATCCGGGATCCTCCGTATCTCTGGGGGGAGCTCGTTCCAGATAGTAGGTGCCCCCACAGAGAAGGCTCTCCCCCTGGGGGCTGCCAGTCGGCATTGTTTGGCTGACGGCACCTGGAGGAGCCCCTCTCTATGGGAGCGTACCGGCCGGTGGGAGGCTATTGGTGGTAGTAGGCGGTCCCGCAAGTACCCAGGTCCTAAGCCATGGAGCGCTTTGAAGGTGGTAACCAAAACCTTGAAGCGCACCCGGAAGACCACCGGGAGCCAGTGCAGCTCGCGCAGGAGGGTTGTTACATGGGAACGCCATGTCGCTCCCATTACCACCCGCGCGGCCGCACTCTGCGCCAGTTGGAGCCTCCGGGTGCTCCTCAAGGGGAACCCCATGTAGAGAGCGTTGCAATAGTCCAGGCTGGAGGTGACAAGGGCATGAGTGACCGTGCGTAACGAGTCCCGATCCAGAAAGGGACGCAACTGGCAAATCAGGCGAACCTAATGAAAAATCCTCCCGGTCACGACTGTCTCATGTTTATATATAGTAGGAACTTGTGGATGTAAAATTAGATTTATGTATTTGGTTCCATTTTTAATACCCAGGAGAAATATGCTAAAACACTAAAAATAGTTTTTGTATTTTTTTAAAAAATCCCACACTAGCAATTTAAAATTTCATTATATATATTTATTTTTCTTACTGTCTTAGACACTTCTTGGGCTATGCTTTGTATAGCTTTCTAGTCCACATTAAAGGTTGGTCCAAGAAATTGGAACTAAAACTCATTGCTTCCCTCCTATTGATGAAATCCAACCAAATCTGTGCTTGAGTCATCATGGTTGACAAGAGTTCATCATAGGGTGCATATACCACTATTTACACCTCATCTTTGAAGAATTGCCTTCTGAGATTCTGGCTAAGGGGACAACTGGCTTTATTAGGAACCATCAACCATACAGAATTCCCAATAGAAGAGTCCACATACATGGATAACTGGTGAATTGAATTGGAAAACCCATCCACGCGGTGCCCTAACCTGGGTATTGAAATCTCTTTGATATGAAGGATACTTCCTCATGGCACACCCTTCCTCTCATCCCCACACCCAGTTAAGGCCACCTAAGTGATCAGATCACTTATCTGATCCAGAGCTATAGTGATGTTCTCATTACTTTTGACAAAAGCATGTTATATATGGCACCGATGCAGTTTTAACAGCAACTGTGATGATAACTGGCAGCAGCCAAAATCATCCCAAAGCAGGTTGAAGTATTTGTAGGGAGAGAGGCTGGGGAGTAATATTTTTGCAAGGACTCTATTGTAAGGGTTTTTTTTTTTTTTTTGATGTGTGTGGGATTGATTCTCTTAGTCCAGGCTGTTATGTCTTGTGTCATGATTTTTAAACTTTAAATTAAACATTTAAGGATATTTAAACTGTTTAAATTAAAGATTTAAGGTTTGGAGCGGTCAACCATAATAAATGTAATACATAATAAAATAGTAAATTTTCTAGTACCTTGGCTCTAGTTAGAATTTTCAGCTGAGAGAAAAAACATGCAAAAAAACCTGGGTAGTACATCCTAGCAACTGGAGTTCAGTCTGAATTGTAAACACAATCATACAACATTGTTCAGAAATGTGCCTGCTACAATGGAGATAAAGCCTAGCTTGAAACTGCATTATTGTATTTAGTATGGCTTCTCACTTTCTTCGCTAGTGGATTGCAGTCTTGATCAGAACAAAAAATCTGGATGAACTCAATTGATATTCCCACCTCTATTGTGCATAGCACTACTGTAGATTAATTATTGACTTCTAAAACTGCCCGTTCTACAAAAACAGGATGGCTTAAATGGCATTAAAAATGATAAAACCCAAATGTGAAAGGAATTGAGCTGAAGAAGAAACCCTAAATTAGATCTATTAATCTTATCTAGGGATTAGCAAAACTGCAGTCTAGAGACAAGGAAAAGAGCCAAGTCTTATGTATTTTGCCCCAAGCTAGTAGGTTTGAGATATGCAAACTTTGGGGGATGTCCAATAGCAGTACCTCACTTAAATAACTCCTTGGGGTTCCATCCTATTATGTCCTGCGCTGGGTATACCTTTCCAGTTTTCTATTGGAGAAAGGTGTGGGGGGACATTGGAGTAGTTGGTCCAAAGCATTGAGCCAAGTTAATATGCATGCTGTCTAGTATCATCGTTCTAACACAATATAACTTCCACAATATCGTTATTTAAGTAATAGACAATAAACTATGCTATAGGAATCTATTCTAATTCTCTATCTTTGGGACTACTAGGGTAAACAAATAAAATATTAGCTGTTCAGTATGATGTCACACTACAGTTTAGCACTATCACACCATGGAGAGGTTGTTTAATCACATTCTGAAATCTCAATCAATTTAAAATTACCTGAGAATGAGCAAGAACAGAAGTAATTCTACAGTCATTACTGAACTGATGATTTAGAATTTAGGAAGGATTATATAATTCCTCTTAATTCATATATAAAGGAATTAATATATTTTATTTATTGAAAAATTAACTGCTTCTTACAGGCTGTGTTTAAAACCACAAACTATCCAAACTTATTTTAGTCTTGCATTTCAATGAATCCAACAAATTTGTTTAATTTCTGGTTCATGGAAATTCAGAAATCATAAGAAATAGCTATTTTATCTTTGGCCAAAACCAGTCTGAGATCAGATATTTTCTTCTGAGACAGAGATACAGTATGTCTTTGTAAATGCCAGAAATGAGGAAATACCAGGCTCTTGAGGATGTACCTTATTCATATTTTTTCAGTGTAGATTCCAAAGCATTTTTGGGAGAAAAATTGTGCTCGTAATAAACATTCTAATAAATTCGGCAATGCATATTATCATAATGTAATTGTGTCATCTTCTGAGACAAACTAAAGCCCTTGATGGTATTTTCTTTTCCCACAACTTTTGAATAGAACAAGAAAAAGTTGCTTGGTGGTTTGACCTTTGATTCTGTCTGTAAAAATAGTCTATGAAACTCAAAACATCACCTGATTTGCTATTCAGTGCTGGAGGAAAGTCACTCCTCCTGATTCCTATATAAATTATGGGTGCTGAGGTTCAAAACAAGTTGGTGAGAGTTGTACTGCATCTAGTAGGCACCCTTCCTTGAAACTATGAAGTCAAGTTTTTCTTCCTCATCTTGGCATGTTGGTGTGGCTCAGGTAAGTATCATTATTGCCACCTATGACTAATGCAATTTTAATAATAAATGTTACTGGAACTCCATGTTTATAAATTTAGTCAAGCTAAAATTAATAGTATTAAACTGGTTCTGTTGGAGTGTCCTCCTCCTTATGAGATTTAGATTTATTTATTTGGAATTTTTCATAGAATTTATTAAATTCTACAGAATACCCAAAGTCCAGATAGTTTTCTTGCCCATAGCCTGACAGTGATTTAAATATGAAATAGGAAGGGTTTTTACAAATATTTTTAATGCTTATTCTACTTCCCTGGCATTCGAATGTTAACCTTCAAAAATTCAATTTTCCTGTCATTTATAGTAAATTGTCCAAATAAGTAGCTGT